AAAATTTTTTTTTTTTAATTTTATTTATAGGAAATTTTTTTTTTTTTTTTTTTTTTTTTTTTTTTTAGAATAAACTTAGTTTTGCCTTTAGGTCCAATGCATTTAATCCATTTTGTATAGAAAATCACACCACAAAGCACTTAGTGCACAACCAAAAAAATTACTGGTGAAAAAAGACTTTCCTTTGTGCATTAATTATGCATATATTGTATTAATAAAACTAATAAAAACTTATTAAACTGGTACTTTTTAATTGCCTTTATTTTTTTAAACATTGCTCAATTTTTTAACGTTTTCAGCCAAAGTTGTTAAGAACTACAATGTGAATATCATTTTACTATAGTTTATTTTCAGCTCTTTTACTATACTATTCAAGAACATTGCTGGTGGCTGCCCTGCTCCACTCTGCAAAGAAAAGAAATATTAAATTACTTCTATTGTACAGCCACACATAGTGACTCGTAGGCTCAATTACTATTACTTGTCGAATCAAGAAGTCACTTAAGTAGGACCTGTCTGACAACATGAAGTAGACTAGACGATGTCAAAAATAACCTGAGCTAAAGAAGTTCAAGGATAGCCAAAAGCAATGTCTGTCAAAAGATGAGAAGCATTGTGAAGGCAGATAAGGAACTGGAACATTCAGTTCTTTGACATGTACAATGATTTTACACTGTGATGTATGGAGCTGCTTAGCTAATCTTGTTTTATAAGCTGTTTCAGTAAAAGTCTCTGGATAATCAAGTTTTTTTCTACTTCTAAAAACTTGGTTAGAAAAAAAAAATAATACTTTGTGTTGTAAGACAATTATGTTTGTAATAATTTTACCCTGACTAAAAAAAATCTTTATCTGTATCAACCACATGTGCTCGATGGGCCAAATTTGTATAATTCTTGAAATGCACTCGGTGGGCTGCACAGAATTAATCCAAGTCTACTTGTGGTTAGCATTTTTGACACCCACTTTTATTAAAGCTCAAAATCCTGTCTTTTCAGCCAATCAGACGGTTCGACCGAGACCCTGTCTGTGATGGATGTGGATGAGCCGACTGAGCACCAGCAATCTCCTGCCTCCAGCACAAACTTTGAGGAATGCTCAGGCAGAGACTCGGAGCCCGACCTGGTTCTCCTGTCAGACAGGTCCGAGCTCCAGCAGCCCACCTACCGAGTGCATCCCATCATTTACATCGGACAGATTCAGGAGGAGAACGAGGAGCTGGATCCGCAGCGGCGGTCGCTCTCTATGGACAGTGCGTATGGTACCCTCTCTCCTGAGTCGTTTCAGCAGGAGCTGAGGCCGCAGCCCATCCAGAGTGAGGGAGAGGAGGTGGAGGAAGTGCAAGACCAGGAGGTGGAGTTTGGCAAAAATGGGAAAGTAGAAGAACAGGAGGAGGAAGAAGAAGAAGAGGAGGACGAAGAAGAAGAAGAGGAGGAGGAAGAGAATGCATCTGTAGGATCCCAGCTGTCTGTGGTGCAGTCAACCAAACCTCGCCGGCGGCCTCCTGTGCAGTCCAGGGTTCAATGCATGCAGAGGCTGACCTCTCTGACCTTCTCCCGCTCGGAGGACAACCTCCTGCAGCGAGTCCACGGCGAGGAAAACCCCGTGTCCCACACGCACTCTTTCAATTCTGAGTCCCAGGAACTGGACTGCACGGACGTAGACCCGTCCTCTCTGGCTCACAGCCAGAGCCTGTCGGAGCTGCGGCGGAACGGCTTCAACCGCTCCGAAGACTGCCTGAGCTCCAGCATGCCCTCCGACAAACTGCAGGCCAGCCTGAGCCGGGCCGAGGCCATGCTCAACCGTAAGACACAAGAAGTGCCGGATGGGGAGACGGCGCCATCTAGCAGAGCAGATGGTAAATGCGAGACGACGACGACAACGACGACGACAGAGGACACGAATTCACCCAAAAACAAAAAGAGGAAATCTCCAGCCCAGCACAAGAAGCTAACGTTAGCTCAGCTTTACAAGATACGCACCACTCTTGTTCTAAACTCCACGCTGACGGCATCGTAAGTCGCTGCTTTTGAAATTTCAAACTGCAGATTTTAGATAATTTTACATCTGTAGCAACATGCCTATTGATCTTTATTTCTCTCTTTCCAGGGAGGTATAACTTTTCCAAACGGCAGAGCGACATCAACATCACAAGGGTTGGCGCTTGTTTTGTTTGGATGGACTGATTTTCTATAGACACAGCTGCACTCTTTGTCACACTGCCCTCTCCCTTGCAGTTGCTATTCTGGACATTTTTATTTATACATTAACAATCACTTAGTTGTTTTTTTTTTAAATATTTCATTGGTTTTTGGACTCCTCAAACAAAAAGGGAGGGGACATTAACTGCCTGCACTTTGCAAGAGAAGTAGCACTGGAGGGTTGGAACCTGCAGCGAGGAGACGTCCAGGCGGAGGTCCGACAGCCTCGTCCCGGCACTCCACACAGGAGACATGGAACTCTTCCCTTCCTCTCACGCACGAGTTGAAGAAAGAGACACCAAATCTTGAATACGCTTGTGTGTTGGCAAGAAAAAACAAAAAAATACCTGGACACTTGTATTGCTCCTGATTTGCTTCAACAAAGGAAATTATTGCACAGTTTTAAGTACAAAACAAAGAAGTGAAATTTTCAGCCATGTAATGAGTCGCTTGCGTATGATGCGTTTTCTATTCTTGACTGAACCGAAACTGATCTCCGTCTCCTTTGATTATGCAAACCCACCCAGAGATGGGAGGACTGTGTAAAAACTAAAAACAAAAACAACCACAAAAAAAGCAGTCCAAATAAGCCAATCGCATTTCAGCTTAATTTCAACTTTGTGTTTACTGTTCGCGTTTTTTGCTGAACTGATGACTAAAAATGGGTGACTGAAGCCATTTTGGTATTTTTTTTTCTGCACTATACATGTTTCGACTTGAGGCGCACACAAGAAAAATGAAAATGGATTCACAAGAAGAGAGGAAAGTCTCACTACACATGCTTCTTTCTGAGTAATGTTAGCAGGTTGAAGAATGAGGTTTGTGGTGATTATTCTGCAGAGCTTTAGCTGAACAACTTTCTCCAGAAGATAAAAACAAAAGCTTTTCAGATCAGTAACTGTTTATTTTTTGCCCAAACCAAATAGGTAAATGAAATTGTTTACTTCTGTTTTTTTTGTCTGTGTGTAATATTTATTACCCCTGCTATGTTTTATATATAAGATTTTGTTTATGTTTGCTTTCATGATTTGTAAATGGTTTTTGTTAATATTTTGGTTTTTTTGTCATGTCAGGCATTAACATGCCAAGAACCAAAATCATGTCTTTTCTTTCAGGAATGACTACAAAGTGTCTTATGAAATAATAAAAAAAACCCTACAAAATACCTTAAATTTTTTGTTTTCAATACAGTCATTGTGTTTATATTGAAATAGACAGAATTTTATCAATCCACACGTCTGTTTTGGATTTAGTGTAGACAGGTTGTAAGTGGGAAAATAGCATGTTCTGGGGTATTCCAGAAGAGATGCAGTTGAATACACGCACACGCACACACACACACACACGCACACACACACACCTTTTTTCTCACTATTTGCAGCTAAATCAGTCCAAACCTTCCTTTTTAGGTCAGTTGTAATTACCAAAGTAATTTATATTTACTAAATGCCACAGTAATGAGAGAATGTCAGATTTTATTAACCTTCAAAATTTTCCTAACAGTTTGCTGAAGTTCTGGGCTGCTCTTCCATGAGAACTTTGTTGTCCTTAAGCCATTTTGTAAACACTTTGGCTTTATGCCTAGGGTTGTTGTCCATGTCCACCAAAATTCACAGTTAGGAGCAGTTTGCTACTTTTGGTTTTTCTTCCAAAAGTAGCTATAGTTATATTGGCAAAACAGTTCCACTTTACTTTCATCAGACCATAAGACATCCAAAAATGAAGATCTTTGTTCCTGTGTTCGCTTGCAAACTGTGTTCTGGCATTTTAATATTTATTTTGAAGGAACGACTTCCTCTGCTTTTTTTAATTGGAGTCTATTTGCCCATTTTGGACCAAACCCTTTCATCTCTGAGATACAGAACTGTCTCCTTCCTGAGAACTTGATGATGACTCGACATATTCATCATGTCTATACTGGTATAATTATTTGAACAGATGGAAAGCAGTGCCTTCAAACATCTAGAAATTATTGTTAATGGTAAAAGTATTAATTCCACTGGCAGATTATTTCACTTAGGAAAAATGCCTTGTATAAGTTAAATAATCTGGCAGTGACACAAATACTTTCTCGCCCTTTTTTGACTTAAGTTCCTATTTCTTGCTGAAAAGTTACTTGTAAGTTGTCTTATTTCATGCGTATTAGGATATTACTAGAAAAATGTGAAAATGTTTAAAGGGTCTAGTTAATCTTACACTGTGAATGTATTCATTGTTGTGTCCACACATCTGCTAAAACAACAATGTAATGTGTTCTAAATCTCTATTAAAAGCTGATCTGTGGGAGAAGAGGTAAAACATTACTTTAGCTCTGTCAAAGCACTTACTCAATTCATTGGGAGCATTTTAGAGCCGGAGATAATTCATCCGAGTTTCTGGGAAATCGGGGATCACATATCGAGTACAGCTGTCTGTCTGGGACCGCCGTCTGCTTCCCACAAAGTTCATCCGACTCATCTCTGCTTTCAGCACGCATTCAGGTCGTCGGAGCCGAGCTTGCTGGCCCCGGGTAACGTCAACGCCAAGGTGTATTTACAGGTGATTATATCAGCTAATCGGTGGATTACAGCATGTTGAGTCGACACAAGCCTCTAAGCTGGGGTGGAAAAAAGACGGAGCGCTGCTGTGGGATTTTTGCCCTAATCTGGCCTCAGAAAGCATGTGGCCCCTCCTGCTCTCACATCTGGCCTGCTCAGATTTACGGTTGTAATCCATGGGTTTTTAAACTATTTTATCATGCTTCACTGCTGATATGCTGGACTTTAATTATTATAATGCAGATTTTCATTTTAGTTTTGATGTAATTACACATTCTTGTTCGATTAGCTTCTGCTAAGTAAGTAATGAGGTTGTCCCCCCAATATGGCTCTGGGCCAGTTGCCTCTATAGATTAGTTGCAGATAAATGCTGCCCGATGTAATGACAGTCAGCTGCTTTGCATGCAGGAAACAAAAAATACATTTCTTAGAAAGGATTATCTTTAGACTTTTGAACTATATATTAAACCCCCCAAAACTGCTAAAAGTGATGGCTTTCATTCTTTTATTGCTGAAAAACAAATCTTAGATTGATGCTTAAAATATGAGCTGCAAGATCACAGGAAAACATGTGAAAGCATGTTTCACTCAGCATCAACCTACATTTTGACTTTTAGTTTTAGTTTATTTTATTTATTTATTTATTTTTTTTCGAAATGTCCCCACCACTCTGTTCTTAAGCATCTTGTCCACTGAAAATATACATGAAGGACAAGTCTGTCCAGTAGGGCAAACGTCTTATTGTCATGCAGAATTTGCATTCACTCTACTTTAAATTAATCTTACCAAATATTGCATCCAAGCAGTCCTTTGTGGTTATGATAATCATCACATATTTTTATTTGTGTTCATTTTGAGCAATTAAAGTCTGCTATAGAAACTTTTGGCTAGAGAACTGTTTCTGCAGATGGTTGTGTAAGTCCAGTTTCCTGCAGGTTTTAAAAGGAGTCCCTCAAGGCTTAATTTTATTGTTTAAATTTCATTTGGTTTTAAATGACATTGTGAAAGCCACCTAAAGTGCACTTTTATGCTGATGACAATGTGTCTTAGTATGTAGTTAACTCTAAAACAGGCTGTTGATGCTACATTTATGTTTTTCAGTAATAACACCTATATTTTAGATGATGCTGATGATTCAACCCAAGGGGAGATATTGTTGCGAGCAACAAGGGTTTGGACTCCATGTTTCTTCCCTTTTATTGCTGCTGAGATGGTGGAAATGTTTACTCAGTGCAGCCAGGGCAACGGAGGGTTAACACCACTCACTGCGGCAGATGTCAAAAACCATGCTGTAAAAAATGTCCGATTAACACAAAGGGGCACTTTGTCAAATCCTGATTAAAGGAGCACTTTCATTTATTAAACTCTGTCAATCCCCTGGACTGTTTTAGAGCAAGGGATTAAAACCAGGTAGACACTATTGTCTTTCTAAACAATCCCTCTTTAAGCTGTAGCTGTTTCCTGGTGCCCCGACGAGGGCAGGTTGACTGGCTGCCTGTAATCTCAGCAGAGGCTTATGGGTCACTACTACCGCTACACATTCCCATTCATCAACCTCATCCCCTTTAAAGGGACTATGTGATTGGATTTAGGACATGTTCTACAGGGGCAAAAAAAAGGGAAGAGCACACTGAATCGTGTTTACAAGGGCTGTGCTGTGAAAAGGCCTGTGGATGAGTGGAAGCCATATGGTGTGGCTAACTCTGGGAACATCTGCCGTCGATCACAACCATCAGACTGGTGACCTTCACATGGACCATGGGAACATCTGGCTCCTTTCCTTCTCATAGACCACATTAAGCAGGCAAATGGCAACAGTGATGTCAGGATGAAGTCTTTAAACACGTTGCAAGGAAGTAGTGGGACAACACTGATTGATGTAATCAAGTCTGATTATTTTTGGAACTCATTTATCACCTGTACCACAGAACTTGTATGGTTGTGTTTAATTTCCCCTTACAGAGTTTTCTCGTTACAATCAGTCTTCAATTTTTACGTTCTTTACACAAACAAAAACCTTTTGTGCGAATGTTTGAAGATTTCATGGAACCATATTTTGCTGTAGTTACAACTTCTAATCTTTTGTGATGCAACAGCAACAGCTTTGCACATATAGAAAATTGTATTTGTGCCGGTTTTTCTTTGAAACATAACTTAGAGATTTGACTGGGCCATTCTGACATGTGGATATGCTATAAACTGCTTATTTAAGATCATTGTCCTGCCAGAAAATGAAACTTGGATCAAATTTTTTGCAGTTAAGACCAGTTTCCTGTTGTACTTGGAGAAAAAGGATCCCCACAGCATGTTGCTGCTACCACCATGTTTCAGTGTAGGGAAAGTCTGCTAAGGTAATGTGCACTTTTTTCCCTGTCTCTGATAGCATTTTATGTTAACCAAAAAGTTTAAATATGGGTGTTTTTTTTTTTTCCAATAAATGCCCTTTTTTTGCTCTGCACCTTAAAAACCAGATTTTCAGTTCATGACAGTTTCTCCTACCTAAACTAGCAGGTAGTGTTGTGGTAACCAAATTTTACTCTTGAGATATTTTCAAAGTTTTATTCCAGGCTGGGGATCTGCAACCTGAGGTACAAGTTGCTCCTTGGGCCATCTACAACATAAAAATAATAATAAAGATACCCTTAAATTAAAATGATATAAAACTGAAAATGACCTAAAAATCATTACTTCTGTTATAGAAAGTCTTTGAAAAAAAACTGAAAATCTTCTAGAACATGCATTTGTTTTGCATGTATTACATAGTACTATCACTACTTTTTTTGTCATTGAATTTCTACATTATAATGACATTAAAAGTACCAGTAATAATAATGATAATTATTGTTACTTATTCCTTGCATATTTTAAAGCCTGAAATAAAATTGTGGTTCTTTAAACATTCTGACAAATGCTCTTTAGCAGATAGTCACAAATAATAAATAGTATTATTTCAAAAAATTATGTTACATTTGTAGCTTTAGGTTTTATTTAGTTGGATTGAGTGCAAAACATGTCTCTTTGGATTGTAAAGTTTGACTTAGGATTTTGTTAATGATCAAGTCTGATAGCCCTGCTGAAACATCCTTTTTAAGGCAACTCTGACTGGAGCCAAGAGCTGCAGTCAGAAATGACAAACCCTAACCCTACCCTAACCCTATCCCTAACCCTTACCCTATGAATGTGTTATGGGTTCAACTAAACGTTGTGGCAGTTCATCTAACTGACTAAGTAAGGCGTACCCAGTTTATCTGCAGCCTTGTTAAAGAGATGCTTGTTATTGTGAAGCTTAGTTTTTTTTTTCTTTTACTGTTGTACATTAAACACTGCACATTAAAGCTGAACATCAAGCCCAATTGGGTCTACAATTGAATTTCAATCTATCAAGATGCTTTAATTATGTCATTTTTGTATGTAGTTTAGTCATTTCAAACTTAAATTCCTACATTTGCAAAAACAGCAACTCCCTTTTTGATGCTTTGGGTGTAGTTTCTGTTTAACAGTGCAAGAGTTATACTTTTGATCATTATTTTACATTAGGGTGTTGTTAAAATAAAGGACTTGCAGTGCTTCAGTGTTGACCCCACAATCCTCCAACAGCACCAAGCTGATGAATGTTTTACCAGCTGCTGCT